ATAGGAACATAATCAAAAGTTAAAAAGACGTTTTGAGGGGAAGATCGTGGATTGACTCACGCACCAAGTAGACTTTGAATTTCGATTTGAATTAATGTAAATACAGCTACTCTCAACGTAAGAGGTTAGAGTAAGGGGATACCTAGAAAAAAAGCTGCTGTATTTGATAGTGATCTAACGAGATTGTGATGTCAAGGTTTTGATTAGAATGATATAGTGATTAAATTCTCTTAGTGAAGGATTATCGCCTACCAGGTAAGACCGGAGTTGGTCAACTTTGCGATAGGAAAGGTGAATCGATCCGCGAAAGCACTGGACTCAGTGATTTTACGAAACATTTTTTTTAATATCTGAATTTGATTAACGTTTCTATGGTACTATTATCAATGGGAACTTTATATAAATTATATTAGTTAAGTATTAATTAAATTAATGAACAGAGAAAATACCAAGAAAGTTAGGAATTATACAGTTCATATGAAAGGGTTTTAACGTCGACATCAGGATTTCCAACTTTCTTTTAAGTTAGTTATGTGTATCCGATTTTACGAAACGTAGAGAACGTTTGTAGGCTTTTCGACAGGATGTCAATTGAGGTTTGGATAGGTCAGTTAAGCCAGCAACTACCGTGTATTTATCTCTGAAATTTCAGCTTTAGAATAAATTTGTATTTATTAACTTTAAATATTTAAGAAGATTCTTTTTAAACATTTTATACTCAAGGATATTTGTAATATAATCTATAATAATTGTCTATTTAACCAAATTAACATTGAATATTAAATGACATTATAATGATATCGGAAAATAAGGTAGAAATGAAGTGATTTAATGACTAATATAAAGCAAAGTACGAAACCGAAAGTAACAGTCTACTGTAGATGCTTACTCCGTGGTCCGCGTTCACTTCTAGGATTCATTTAAATCCGTCTGAATTACATTCAATATTTTATAGTTTATGCTCTTTGAATATTAATATTTTAACAAACATTTGTGTGTCATTAAGACTGCAGAATTAGTCAACAACACATTATATATATGTTGTCATTCTGTCTATTTCAGATAAACCATTAGAAGACGTATAGTGAATAAAATTCATCATGGATAACGGCGGAGATAAGCCAACCCAACCCCCAAAACCAAAACCAGGTATAGTCATCTTTACTTAACAGACTCCCCCGCATCCAGTGATACTCACACTATTTATTTGTACAAGACTAGGGTCGATACCGTTTGGGTCCTCAGTCGTCCAAACCCAACATGTAACTTTATATCTTATACTTCTACCACGATTGGTGCTTTAGCGTTATTACTTTTAAAATCTAGCCAAGTTTGAAAGCCTAAATTTTAAGCAGTTCATTTTTACTACTTTATATTATTCTACCTAAAACATGTGCCTCTCTCATGGAGGAACAACTTTGCAACAAAACGGTTTAAAAGTGAAAAGCATTGAGCCCATTTGCGTTTAGAAAATTGTTAGAATTAAAATTGTGACTCTGTTGTTGGACTACTTGGTTATTAATCTATCTCTCTGTTTATTTGTAGAATTAAAACGAGGAACTTCCATGTATATGGATATCCGTATGCCAACCAAGCCTGAACGACCTCATGCTGTCGATAACGGTGAGTTGATTCTAGAAACTTAGACAATTAGTACATAAAGTGATTGTTAGAATTGAAACGAATTGAAAGTTTGCGTCCTATTTTCGGCATGGAATTAGGCTTTTTGATGTTTAAGGAGAAAGTCCAACATTTTTTAGTTGCATAAAACATTAACCAAGGATTATTCCATAAAGTCGTGAACACCGTATTGTTCTAATAAACTAGCCCCCAATCTGAGTCGTAGTTTGTCAGAACGGCGCGTCGTCGACAATAACCAGTTTTAACATGTTCGATGACTGAAGATCAAGAGCGATTCAACATTAAATTTTACATATCAGCCAGAAAACTTCAATTTCTATATAATGTAGGTTTCGTTAACATACAATTTGCATAGTACAAAGGCCGTTGTTCAAAATGCAATTTTTTTTATAGCACACAGAGTTTCATAGTAAAAATTACCTTTCTTATATAACTAGATGACTTCGAACTGCATCATTGATTATCAATGGGAAGGTGTAAAGAAATAACGGGAAATACTTTTTTTTTCGATCATTGACCTTACAGAAAATGACTTTGCGTTTAATACATAATCATGTTTACCTTTGAGTATTGAATTTTAAAAAATCCGGTCAACTCTCCCAGACGGCAGTTCATTGTCGTTTACTTTATTTCAATGAAAGATCTTGAAATGAAAATGCTCGTCAACTGTTAGTCAAGGACATAATATAATATTCGTTTATTTGATTTCAATATGCTGTTTATTTTCTATATTTAAAATTGCACACTCATACAAACGAGTGTTGGCTTAGTGCGCATATTTGATTTTTTTAGCAAACAATGGATAAATGTCAACTAGCTTAAAGGTAAGCCGCCTCTTAGGGTAACCAAAAAATTAAAAAGTAATTTTTAAACATCGTCTTATATAGAGATTTTAAATAACAAGTAATTAAACAAAACTCACCCAACAGACAGGAATTATTAATGGGTCTAACGTGATAAAACATATTTTGCGATTAATGAGCCATGAAATTTGGAATGTTGCAGTTTCGCTGATACTCTAAGAAAAACCTCTTTACAATCCCTTAAATAGAACGTAATATTATTATGTAAAGAAAATAATTGATACGTTATGTTACTGTTAAACAGTTTATCACGCCTTATATTTTAATTATAATACCCCCGCATTTATGATGATAGGGTTTAAAACAGAGATAGACACGAGCATGTGTAGGACACTCTGACAGCTTTATATCATTATATAGAAACAACAGTAAACGATATTTGATACAATTTTAAAATTCAGATTAAGACGATTTAAGACAAAAAATTATCACGTGAATAATAAATGATTTTGTATAAGGTGTGGTCAGTAGAAACAAAGTAGATAGATAAAATAATTTCTATTTAATGTTTTTCTAGTTTAAAACTATTGACTACCTTCCAATGGTTAATACATCTGCATTATTATAGACTTTGACTTAGAACTAGCGAGCGCTTACTGGAACGACTACGACTTAAGCGTCGTGAGATCCATGAGTTTCACCTACCACGTTGTATCTAAAATGACCAGTTACATGTACTCTTAATTGGTTCGGTTTCAGCATACAAACTACGCCAATGATCTCCAGACAGTCTAAAAGCACTTGATCTTCGATCCCCACCCTTGTTTAGAATGCTCAGAAAAAAAAACATCTTTGAAAGTTTAAAAATCTTGGTCATGTCTTTGTTTTTATAAGAAAACATTTCAGACTTAACCTTTACACAATGAGAACAAGACGTCAAAATTTGTTAATTTACTGTTAAAAAAACTACTAGCGCGACATTCTGTTTAGGTGAAATGTTTTAAACAAGATACCTTCGAAGCTACCGACATGGTATATCTAGTGTGAGTTGGGATCGCAAGTCCTCCGAGTCTGGAGGTACAAATAGTGCAGGCGTCATAGTCACAAGCCTCTCATTGAGCGTCTGAGAGAGTTCTCCCCAAGAAAGAATGAATTTGTTTTGTTACATTGTGTCGCATATTTCGGGGGAAAACGTATCAAAAAAATATATTGAATTCGTTAAAAATAAGGTGGGAGTGCAAACCACAAATGCTCTTAAAACTTTAAATCATGTCACGTTCTATCTTGGTTCAGGTGACCGCGTTTCTAATCTTTTTACGAACTATGAAACCAATCATTTCTTAATCACATTAGTGTATTTTTGAAATCTTGTTTATAGAAATCTCAAAATATTGTAAAAGATCTAAAAACTAGCAGAATACTCAGATCATTTCTTTTCTCAACCAATAATTTATCTGTAAACGTTTCCTGGAATTTCGAAATCTATAGATAATTGAGAAAATATTGATCGTGACCGATTTATATCAGTTTACACTTTATAATAGTTTAGAGATGAAATCGAAGGTTGAGCACTATATACTATTTTATATTTCTACGATAGAAACAACACAATTCTAAAGTATGCTCATTTCCAGCGCAACGTTTCGTTAATTTACATTGCCATCTCCAGTGTGTATGGTATACTACTGTTTCGCGTAATTGCATAAAACGTTTCAACAGTTTACATTGAGAACATTAAAACTCCCTACACAAATAGACCTTTACCGGGTACCGCTTGTAATATATGTAACTGCTTACACTTTTTATAACGTTTCATCAATTGACATTGACATCATTAGGCGATTAATAAATACGTATACCTATACACTTTACTTGAAAGTCAACAGATAAAAACAATAGTATTGGGTCGAACAATTAAGATTTAAGTCGACATAAAGACAATAGGCTAGATTTTTTGTTGATGAGACAAATTATGTTTGTATTGTTTGAAGGTGATAAAAACAAACATGACTTTTCTACAGCTAGTCTAGATTAAACGACATTTATCTTTTCAAAATCATTTGAATACCTATAGATTTCCTTAAATAATAACTTTATTTTCAACGTAAACAAAATTTAAAAATCTTATTTTCGAAATATTGAGGAATATGTAAACACGTACATGTATATTGGAAGTTTTCGGGATGGATATCGAATTTCAAGATTTAAGCATGGAATATGTGTGGGAATTATCAGGCATGTTGGTTCTATCTGAAAATAATATTTCATCGAGGAGAAAATCTCTACTTTATTTCTATCTTTTTAAAGATATAATCAAATAATAGTAGAAATATTCAATTACTGTTTACCGAAGGCTTTTCTCGAAATCTTAATTTAAGACAACTTAAGTGCTCGATTCATATGATTAGTCAATCACTAACATTGAATTTAAATCATGATTTATTATCATCTCTGTGATATCAAAGTTATGTTTTTGAGAATACGACTCGAGAATATTGAAATATATTTTTGATCTTATTGTACATTGCAGATACGATAAATGAAAATGATTTTGACATGACCTGTGACCCCACGGATCGAGTTCAGGATCTCCTGAACAAGGTCAATGATCCGAAACACAGGACGAAAAAAATCTTCGTGGAAATGGATATTTTGAAGAAAAGGTTTGAAGACTACGAATGGAAAGAAATTGCTAGGTAGGTATACTTTAATACCTTGGTCTCCATCCCTGGGTACTCGCTGAGTACCAGCTGACACAACAAGGATGCCTGAGAATCAAACCCCAATTTTCGGGGTTTGGTGAAAGGTCGGGATGTGATTAAGGTATCTCAAGTCAACTGTTCCGACCATGTACATGAAGGATTCCTGTTTACTATACAACTTTATTGTGGGCAAAGGAAGGATGGCACGAGAATTTGTAACAAGGCGTTCAAAGGCAAAGACATTAGACATTAGTTCTTAATGAAAGCCAGAGTCGTACTTCACAATCGTTGGACATCTCTAGGGGGATTTAATTGAATTTAAAAGATTATCAATTTTAGGTATACACTACACTCTATCCCATCCCACAAACAAAAAATTAATATAAAACTCAAATCGGAAGAATATTTCATATAATAATATGTTTCTTTCGCGGAAATCCATTAACAACTATTTTATCTTTGTCATTAATTAACTTATTATTGCCTCAGTTGATTATTGATTAAAAAACATCGAAACATTTCCTAAAGGATGCATACGTGATTATTATACAATAGATATAAATAACAAGGGATATGTACTAACTGCTTGCAAGTACGTACAGAAGAATAGGTTACTTCAAAAAGGTCTTCCTACTTTTCAAATAAATGTTCAGTTGTTCCATTATGAGACAGGGATTTTTCGAACAGGAACATATCTAGACCACGAATTTCGCAATTTTGTCAAATCCCCAAACTATTGGCTCAGGTAGAGGACTCAGATATTGATAATAATATAACATGTATTGTGAATTTAACCGTTACCATGGCAGCGTTTTCATAATATCTCTTATTAATATCTCAGCCTCATTGATAACTAATTGATAAAAAGGTCATTGATTCTAGGATTGGCTAATTATCTGACAAACTAAATACGACGTCCTATGCTTGAGCCAGATACCAAATCCTTTTGTTGGGTTTTAAAGACTATCTGTGCTTTCTGAAACACAAGCTTGCAGAAATCATTCTGGTCATTGGAATCCTAAACAGAAGCAAAAGTTTCAAATCCATATATCCCTATCGTCGAACTAAATGTAAAAGAACTATTGTAAAAGAAGTTTTGTGTGTGGTATTGGGTGGATCCGTACTTTATTTTCGATCACGTCACTTGAACAAAAATACTGAAACGTGCTAAACGCATCTAGCTAATTATAATTAGTTTATCACACAGTCGAGATTTTTGATAATTAGTCATAGAGACTTATTGGACATTTAATTATGATTATAAAGGGGCTTACTAGTAACCGTAAACAGGATTGACAGAAAAGCTAAACATAAAAGAAACCTTTCGGGCCTTTAATACATTTAGCAGAGATTCCCTGTTTCCAATGACTAAGGTATTTCAGTTGCATCTTCGTTGTTTTAAGTTGTTCTTGGTTCTTTTGCTTTACGAGAGAGATTAACGACTTCCTTGTTAATAATCGATAAAAATCGATGGGTTGTTTGAGGATTGTCTCGACTATTTATTATTTTAGTCACACCATTGATGATATTTATCTTCTGTCTTCCTATTCCTGAAGCTGTAATTGTCCACAATTCGTACTAATTAACATTTAACTTGCTAGTTCATTTTAGACTACATTTGTACTTGACTGTAGGTCATACTTTTAAGGTGCCCGTCATATACATTTAATCAAGTCCGTCTTTAGGTGCCCTCACGCCCAAGCGCTTAGCAGTTGTATGGTTGCGAATAATGAAAGTGGTTATGAGAACGGAAACAACTCAAAACTCAGTTGTATGAGAATTATGTCTAATGTCTAATGAAACTAATGACCGCTATTCTTATTGGCTATGGTGAGAGGTTCCTTTAACAGAACATTTAAATTAATCTTTCTTTTATTTCATGTTAATACACATATCTTAATTAGAGTCACTGACCGCTGGCAATAGGATAAGAAACCGAAACTATAAAATGAAAAATAAAGATTGCAAGTCAGTCTAATTACCATTGTAAAAGTTACAATGTACAACGTTCTGACAACTTTCTCTCATTGATGGTTTCATTATTTTGTTGCTATAGGGTTCAACAAAAAATATATTAACGGCGCAAATATTCTACTTCTACTACTATACGTAACTCTTAAATAATGAAACCGAAACACTAGAATACAGGTCCCTCTTTTGTACTCTCCTTGAAAATGGAAATTAAGTGCCTGCGAGGTATTGCTCAAAGTCCCTATAACAGCGAAGATACCGACGCCATATATCTAATCTATTTTCTGGCTAGGGGCTTATTTCTTTTGATCTTCCCGTATTGCTATTGGCAGATTTTATCGTATTTACTAATATGATTTTATTACGTTTGATATGACTTTTCCGACTTGCTTCGGGTGTATTCAGTTTGCTTAAGGTCAAAAAATCACCAGGTACGAAATTGAAATTGAGGTGTCCAAAGAACACCATTAGTCGCCCGAACATGTCCATCAACCCAGAGGTCCCAGGTATGGCTATGATATACATATGATTCATGGGGTTTCAGTTTTTGACTATTCAATCTTATCCCTCGCCCCTACAACCCAGAGATCTCACGAAGTTTTGATATCCAATTACTTTTCCTGCAATATCTTTTTCAAAAATATTTGCTGTCATGCCCGCGTATAGAAACAGCAGACCTCCGCTACCTCAAACCTCAGTTCACAACATTGTAATGTCTCTGAATCATTTCGAGTCTTAACGATACAGGTCAGCCATACATTCGATCTCAATGAAATAAGATATCCAGGTCATTGGGGCCCGGGATTGGTCTCTCTAATTGTATCTACTACATTGTCTGAACTGAATACACCAGACCAAATTTCATTTATAATCCACAGACCAAACTTATACCGATTGCCTTAGAGTACCTTTACCCTATCCGGTGACCACTCGAGCAATGGGTACATTTTATAGCTACTTGAATTTGATCTAGAAATATGCGAAAATACCCTTTTATAGGGTTTCTTATCATCTGTAGAAGGTTCAGTGTCAGCTAGTTATGAACACTTATAGGTTGAACATACTTTCAAATAAGTACAACAGAAATAAAATAGAAACAACATATACGTTCTAACCTGTAGCAAAATCAATTTGGGTATCACTGGCATAGATGGTAGAACATTTCAGGTATGTTAAGGATAAAACTAGATAGTTGAATAAACGTAAGAAATGCTTAACGTTGGAAGACACATGTACACAGACGTAAACAAACGCAAGAACGTTAAGAATTTGTCATCATCCACGATCTGCAATCATTGATTGTATCACATCGAACGTTTACAAACACCATATTTCTAGACTTTCAAATTCTCTAATAATGTTAAATGATTTAACCAAAAACCCTCCCATGACTGAAATCGTGTGATAATAAATAATTAGTATTAATGTAATATCTTTCTAAAAAAGGGGGTAAATAATTAGACCATACAATACCGATGAGCACCAAGATCAGACCCTGAGTACCCACTGATAGGTCTGACCTTCATTCTGTCCCTTTTAGACAATACAAATAAAAAACCAAATTTACTTTGAGTATTTCAACTTTCTACGAGTTGTATTTTGACTGTTACCGACTCCCACCAACATGCACTAGTCTCAATTGAAATTTACATAAATGGAAGATCACCTTAACGACTTTTTCTTTGATTTTGTTTTTCAAAGTGCACTTCTGACGGTAGTTTGAAGTAGTTTTACGTTTGTTGATTGTTGTGCAAACATTACAAAATATACAAAAAAAACCTTAGGTTCACATTATGTGTTAAGTAAAACAATTGCGTAGTCATGCAATATCTTGAAGCAAAAATCCTTGAAACATATTTGACAATTTCATTATCATATAAACTACAAGACAAAATATTCGCCACAGAAACATGTTACACCAGTAACGAAGAAGCACCTGTCGAATTTGAGAAATGCTTCAAATAATTCTAAGGAAAGAAAATGTTTCATCCGTCTTTCAAAAAGAATAAAAAGATTCAAATTCATCAGTAACCTCTGGATTGTGAGGTACATATTACATCTGACCACAGCAAGCAAACGATGTACCCTGGGCCACAGTTAAGGTTTGACATATTCAATCAAATATTTGAGCTCCCCACCTCCCAGGGGAACATTATAGACCCCTGCCACTGTCAGACCATGGACTTTCTACTGGCCTTGTTGTACCAATGTTGTCTGAATGGACACAGTATTTCAATTTATATATGAGAAGAATGATATAATCCTGATTGGTATTTATATTACAGGTGGGTGAAATATGAAGAGAATGTAGAAGAAGGTGGTAAACGATGGTCCAAACCTCACGTAGCTTCCCTATCTATGCACAGCATTGTCGAATTACGAAGATTTATCCAAGACAGCTGTATGCTCTTAGACATCGAATGTTACACCATTTCTCAAGTCATAGGTAAGAGAAATAAAAATATACAAAACTGGAACCCAATTTGCTAATTATATTGAATAATATTTCTCAGATTTGGCTTCAAATTACAAATCCTGCTCTTTCTATTTCAGATTCATTCTTAGACGCTTGGGTGACCGACGGCCAACTCGACCCACTTCTCCGACAACATGTCCGCAATATGTGTTTAAAAACACATCGACACAGTCACGATAAAGGACGAAAAGGACGATTAAGTCGACAGAATACCAATACTGATTTGACCAGAGGATTTTCGTCATCCAGTGAGTAATTTTAGCTCTTATTTGGATGCTAGTAGTACGCGTGTTTAAATGGTGATGTTAGCGAATAGTCTGTTGCATCGAAATAACATTTTACAGACTTTGTCCGATGCTGCAATTCAGAAACATGAGTGATACCTTGTGTGTATATTTTAGTGAAGTTCTATCATGATATACGCAAGAAATCTTTAGGTAATCTTTGTCCACCCTTGAACTGAATTCAAGAAATTTCTCAAGAATTATCTCCCAGACATGGGACATTTAAAAATGGATGAAAGAGTCATATTGTTCTGTCTGTCATTCACTCTACCGTTGTACCACTCTGCGTGATATACTAATACCAACTTATTTTACTTGTAGATTTCAACGAGTTACCAAGTGTCCAAAGCTCCATAACACTCAGTGCCGGCCATGACAGTTCTGCCAGTCTCTCCAGTATGGACACTGAAGCCCTTAAAAAGGTTTGAATACATATAACTATAAAACAAACAAATTTGAAAACTGTTGTTTAGAGAATTTCAATTCAATATTAAGAGGTTTAAGATATGAATTCGAACGATAATTTACTAATTGATTCGAGCGGTGTTACAACGGTTGGCAACGACGCAAAGATACAGTAGTATTGACTATGCAATTGATATACTAATGACATAATATTACCAATGAACCCATAATAGTTTTGATTACTCCGATATGAACTACTATCCCATTCTATGCAATGCATCGATTTCCTACTTACTCTTATATCAAACATCTTGTTGTTGCAGCACAATGAAAAATTCATGAGGAAAATCCCCAAAGGTGCCGAAGTTTGTAATGTGATGGTTGGTGAAATAGACGATCTGGAACAACGAGTTTGTGGTTTTATGAGACTCAACGATTCACGAGTTCTGGGAGATATATGTGAAGTTCCTCTTCCAACAAGATTCGTCTTCATCCTTTTGGGACCAATTGGTACCGCTGATCATCTTCAAGAAATTGGTCGAGTTGTAGGAACAATGATGGTTGATGATGTGTGTTGAATTTCATTTTCTTCTCTTTTTGATTTGGTTTCACAGGTATATCCTGAAAGAATGTCCGTTGATAAGAGTTAAACGTTTAAATTGTTAAAAAATAACCTGGGCGAAGGGACAATCCTGACAAAATGCTGTCACTTAAAATATCGATACCATTAGTATCAATAACATAAAATGACCACCCATTTACAACCTTTCTCTTCTAATATTTATGTATTGCGTACTTCTCTTTTTAAAGATCTTCCGAGAAGTTGCTTACAAATGCCGAGACAAAGAAGATCTATTTGCCGGTATGGATGAATTTATTGAGCAAGTCACCGTGTTGCCCCCTGGTGAATGGGATCCTAAGATCCGAATTGAACCACCAGGAAGTGTACCATCACAGGTAATGATAGTTTATATAACCGATATATAGATCTGAAGATAGTATGCGCCTGAATGACATATCAAGAACAATATTCAAAAGCAAAAGATCTTACGCAATACATGAACACTATAGCCAATCGAACAGATTTGTGAATTTTTAGGAGATTAAGTTTCAAGGAAGAGAGGATTTGATTCTTCCAAATATATAGGCCCAGGATGAAACAAAAAATTTGATCTGATTTTACACAAAATATTATGTCATGTTATGTTATTTATCCCATAAAGCATCTGTCTAATGGTGCATTTTCTTTGCAGGATTTCCGAAGAGGTTCTGTAACCCAGAATCCATTAGGTGCTATCACTAACGTACCCCGCCCACCTCCAGAAGAAGAACAGGAAAGTCATGCCGACCCTTCTTTAGTTTTATCTGGAAGGTACGTACTCTGGTCTATGTTCTTCGTCCAATTTACAGAGTAGAGCACTGGAAAGTAAACCCCCATTCCATTTCATTCTCGAAACAGGTTTGGCTCGAGCACAAAACGAAACTCCATTTTAATAGTTCCTTTAGTAAAGAAAAGCACGCTCATCATTAACAAAGTAGTCAATTCCAGTAGATTCATCAAATTGTGTTATTGCCAATCAATCAAATTGTTGACAAGTGTTATTTATATTTCAGACCTTTTAAAGGTTTAATTGAAGATATAAAGAGAAAGGCCCCGTGGTATGTTAGTGATTTTAAGGACGCTCTACATATCCAATGTGTAGCTTCCTTCATCTATATTTTCTTGGCCACGCTGACACCGAATGTAACATTTGGTGGTATGTTGGGACAGGAGACCAATCAGTATATGGTAAGTCGGATCCTAGTACATTTCTATTAGAATCATGGTCAAACTAAACTGTACCCTCAAGAAGCTTGAACAAAATAAAAAAGGAGCAGAAATTTTCATTTTCTCATTGACGAGTTTTTGTTTCATATTTCAGGGAGTAATGGAATGTATTTTTGCTGCCGCCGTAACTGGTATTATCTTTGCTCTGTTTTCTGGACAACCCATGAACATCTTGGGCAGCACTGGTCCTATGTTGGTACTGGAAAAAATTATTTATAACTTTTGTGTGTAAGTATAGTCTTTGTCTTAACGTTTGTTTTGACCTGTCTTCATTGCTATTTTAAACAATCCAGACTGGCTGTTCATCTCATTTACAGTCTGCCTTGTTTTACAGACATTGCTAATTGTTTGGTTCACGATTAGCATTAAAATGTCGATTTTCTTCTGGTTATCCTAGAAATGTTTCATTTTTACCTTTTTACTTTTCCAGCGATCAAGGTTGGGATTTTATGCCCTTCCGTTGTTGGGTCGGTATATGGACTGGCGGCTTGCTGCTCATCATCGTTATGTTTGATCTGAGTGCCTTGGTCAAATATATCACCCGATTCACTGAGGAGAGCTTCGCCTGCCTTATTGCCTTGATCTTCATCTACGAAGCCTTCTTGAAGTTGTTTAACATTGCCACTATTGACGCACCTGTTCAACTGCACCCAGACGAACCTATCCCAATGAACTGTATGTGTAACAGCTCTATGTACATCTCCAACATCACCGACCACTGGAACCAAACCATGTGTATGGACATGAACGCCACATGGAACTGCATCCCAGAAATGACCTACATTCCTGACGCTTTTATGTTCTCCGTTCTTCTGTATTTTGGTACCTTTGGAATCGCCATCTTCCTCATTGACTTTAAAACATGGTCTTGCTTTCCCACTTGGGTAAGTTTAAGGCCTTTTTATTCTTTAAGGGCACACAATCGCTTGATTTCACTAAGAGCTTAAAAATCATAAGTGGCTGACACTCAAAGTGTAAAATTTTTAGTCCTTTGCAATGGAATGAACCCATTTATTTTGCTATTCAGTGCAATCGCTTCTTCATTCAAATTTTTAAAATGCACACCGCTCTTGAGATCTTGAAATCCCAACTAATTTTCATGATTTAATGATCCTTTCGTAATAAGATCTTCAAACACTTCAAGCTACAAAGTGACTATCAATCATTGATTTATTTGATTATAATCATTATTTATATTAAGTTAATGCCCACTTCAGTGTTTTTGTGGTGTATTTTTTTTAGGTTCGTCAATTATTGAGTGATTTTGGTGTATTGATTGCTATCGTGTCAATGGTTGGAGTCGATATCGCATGTGGCCTCCCTACACCCAAACTTTTGGTCCCCGAAGAATTCAAGGTACGTAGTGAGTCTTATGACCTCAATCTCCTTCATGGTTAAGTCCTGTAGCCAATCCGCCATCCTCCCAGCGAGGGCAAAATATTTTTGAAATATGAATAAGCTATACGCAAATATCGATGCGTTTCATTTCCAACAACGGACGTAATGTGAAAAAAGGGTCTAAAACAATAATTCTTCAATTTTTCCAGCCAACTCGATCTGATAGAGGATGGTTCATCAATCCATTGAGTGCTACCAACCCCTGGTGGACTGCTCTCGCTGCCGGTCTCCCAGCTATCTTAGCCACTATCTTAGTCTTCATGGATCAACAAATTACTGCTGTTATCGTCAACAGAAAGGAAAACAAACTTAAGGTAACGTCTATTATATAAGTAATTTAGATTCATAAACGACTGTCTTCCATATTGATTGACCTTAAAAAATAGTCAATGGTTCAGCTCACTAGGATTCCTCTTCATGCACAGAAAGGCCAAGTACAAGTGACTGGAGAACTCTACTCACTGCATATATTACTTTATGATGGAAATAGTGCTCATCAAAATTCCAAGTGGAACAAACGAATGTAAAACGCATTTCAATTCATCAGCCAATCAAGGAAGAAAGAAAAAACGTATATTGAATAACCATATCATTAACAATGCTAAACTCAATTTAATGACGAGTAGAACGTAATACTCTTCTTTTATTCATAAGATTATCAGGATTCAGAAAAAAACTTACCTTTATATCATTTTGCTTTTCTTTTTCTTACAGAAAGGAAAGGGTTACCATTTAGATTTGATGGTTTTAACTATTCTTATTGTGGCCAGTTCTCTTCTTGGTCTGCCCTGGTATGTTGCTGCCACTGTGTCCGCCATTGCTCACGTTCAGAGTTTGAAGAAAGAATCTGAATCCACAGCTCCCGGTGAAAAACCAACTTTCCTTGGTGTCAGGTAAGATGCACCATCCGTTTGATTTCTTGTTTCCTAACTCTACTTGTTGGAGAAGTCATTTTTAACACTTTCTAAGACGGTCACATGCTGCTATGCCAAATGTTTTTTAAGCTGACAACAAAGTATCACCTTCTAGAATATAACCTAGAATTAGGTGATGCCTGGTGTATCCATAAGTACACAATAATACAACAGTTGACAACCTTCTGGAATATAACCTAGGATTAGGTCTGGTGTATCTATAAGTAGACAATAATACAACAGTTGACCACCTTCTGGAATATAACCCAGGATTAGGTCTGGTGTATCTATAAGTAGACAATAATACAACAGTTGACCACCTTCTGGAATATAACCCAGGATTAGGTCTGGTGTATCTATAAGTAGACAATAATACAACAGTTGACCACCTTCTGGAATATAACCTAGGATTAGGTCTGGTGTATCTATAAGTAGACAATAATACAACAGTTGACCACCTTCTGGAATATAACCCAGGATTAGGTCTGGTGTATCTATAAGTAGACAATAATACAACAGTTGACCACCTTCTGGAATATAACCCAGGATTAGGTCTGGTGTATCTATAAGTAGACAATAATACAAGAGTTGACCACCTTCTGGAATAGAATATAACCCAGGATTGGGTCTGGTGTATCTATAAGTAGACAATAATACAACAGTTGACCACCTTCTGGAATATAACCCAGGATTAGGTCTGGTGTATCTATAAGTAGACAATAATACAACAGTTGACCACCTTCTGGAATATAACCCAGGATTAGGTCTGGTGTATCTATAAGTAGACAATAATACAACAGTTGACCGCCTTCTGGAGTATAACCCAGGATTAGGTCTGGTGTATCTATAAGTAGACAATAATACAACAGTTGACCACCTTCTGGAATATAACCAGGATTAGGTCTGGTGTATCTATAAGTAGACAATAATACAACAGTTGACCGCCTTCTGGAGTATAACCTAGGATTAGGTCTGGTGTATCTATAAGTAGACAATAATACAACAGTTGACCACCTTCTGGAATATAACCCAGGATTAGGTCTGGTGTATCTATAAGTAGACAATAATACAACAGTTGACCGCCTTCTGGAGTATAACCTAGGATTAGGTCTGGTGTATCTATAAACAGACAACAATACAACCAAGCAACCAATTTATGAGTAAGGTAACACTGATAGAGATAGACAATAATTACAGCATAGTATTTTATGGCATTACAGGGAACAAAGAGTAACAGCTCTGTTAGTTGGTATTCTGTCCGGAGCTGCCGTTTTCATCACCAACGTCTTGAAGGTTATCCCTATGCCTGTCTTATATGGTGTCTTCTTTTACATGGGTTTCTCTGCTCTTAGAGGCATGCAGGTGAGATAATCTTTATCTTTTAAGGTGCTCCTCAAAATCATTAAGGAAAAAAATCACCAGCAACCAGGAAATTGCTTACATTTGGAATATTATACCGCTTGTCAGCACTGGACAGCAGTTGATGCCTAGTGGCATGTAACTCATAATCATTTGATGACTGATGTGGCTCACACAGACAATTCCTCAACAATGTCTTACATCATGAACACCTTCCAGTCCTTTCCTAAAATATTTCCAGAAATATCACCTTATGTTTTTATCTAATTTCTTTTCAGTTTATCGACAGAATCTTATTATTCTTGATGCCCGTCAAATATCAACCAGATCACAAATACCTTCGACATGTCCCATTATGGAGAGTTCATGTGTTTACCTTAATTCAAACTACCTGTCTTATTGCCCTGTGGGTTGTAAAATCTATTAAAGTCATCTCTATCGGTTTCCCATTATTGGTAAGTAATGTAGTTTAAGCTTTTAATTACAAGGGTATATGAGTTGGGTTGTATGTATTGTTGGGGTGGGGCATGACGTGGTAAGATGGGGAAACGAATAATTCTTGTTCTTGAAATGCAATCAAGTGCTTGATGATGTACGGTATTATGATTGTGATGCCAAGTTGTTTCAAATGTAGAAAATATGTACTGCAATCGAATATCAAATTTAATTCGATCGAAGTACCAAAAACGAAATGGATTTCCCGGTTCCCCGCATCTCTCCCCTATAATGGTAGAATACCTGGTTTCAATATGATATGTGCCAGTAATGAACTGTATTGTGCTCTATTGTAGGTTGTGTTTACTGGTGTAGTCAGAAAGATCATGGAATGTTTCTTCTCTCAATATGAGCTGAAATATCTAGATGATATTTTACCAGGCAAAGATAAGAAGAGTGGTGATAAGGTATATTTCTAGTTTATATTTAGAAAACACGCCTGAGTACTTTTACTCGCACACATACTGTAAAATACCACGCAATGCGTATGTGGATGAGACAGACTAGTGATGATCCTGATAGTTTCTAATATATGTACATGTAAATTCTTCAACATGAAGTGTAGAGTTGAAGGCCCGTAATAGAGATGTACGTCTAACTGTCCAAGACCTTTTTAGACTACTGTATTGATGCGTTACATCTTGCATTCGTATGCCTCGTCGAGTACTGAAATTGCGCTTTTCATCCTACAATATGAAGCTAATGAAATGAATTTACAATTTCAGGAGGCGATTATAGCCGAAGAAAAGAGTCCATCATTTAAAGCAGTAAATGGAAAATCAAACGGGGATTCAGTCATCACCCCAAGCGAGAAAAAACCAAGTTTCTTTTTATCGGACGAGAAAGACATCATTCCCAGTAAAACCAATGGATTTGATAACAAAGGTTTTGATACTAAATTGTGATGATTGGGCGAGATTTCTTAACGTTTAAAATGACAAAACTTGGTGATATTTTTGTGAGTGGGAAATTTAGGCTGGGTTTCATATTCATAATCACAATAGTCGGTTATCTGCCCCTTCTTGGACGCAATGGCAAATTATGCAAACAAATGGCATTTACTGGGCAGTTGTCGACTATATTCTTTCTTTCCATGTATATTGAAATTATTTGTCTAAAATTGCCCATATACAAGTCTAACTGCTGCAATTGTATATTTTATTTTTTTTGTATTATATGTAGGTTTTTGTATATATTTCATTATGGGATGAAAAAAAATTAAAATTAGGAAAACGTAAAAATAGTAAAATTTTGTACGATTTGAGCATTGGTTAATTGGAATGATTTTTTTTTTGCAAATCATCAACTGCATCGATGGGTTCTTCCAAGAAGAAATTTGCATTTTGAATTCTATTTTACAAATGATGTAAAAATATGAATTGTTTTTCTTTAAATTCAATGTATTATTGATTATTATTTTTATTTTTTAAAAATCAAATTGTAAAAAGATTATTCAATAAAATTGTAATATTGGTGAAAATCTTTATTTCACGTCCACCCTGTTGTTGGTTTGTCGGTTGTGGGCTTTTGGCAGTGGTGGATTTTGGACCCATTGGGCCGTATAGGCAGACGAATGGCAGAGGGCCTAATTTCTCATTTTAGGGAGGGGCATGATGTGATTACAATTTATGGCGGGAAGTTTGCGATCTGTTTTTTTTTTTCAGGAACAGATCAATCAGCTCTTCAGCATCATTCCTATACACGATATCGGCATTCATCACCAGTAGGCTCAAACAATTTAGTCGATTCTCACACATCACGTTCCTAGTAGGACAATTTTAGATGTGCCTGCGGAAATTTAGTAACTGTTTGATAATTATTACTGTTACAAAATTTGTCATGGGCCGAGTTTTACATGGGCCGAAAGGCAGGTGCCTAGTTTGCCTACAGGTTAATCCGCCTCTGGCATGTGGACTAAGGACAACTTGTTAACTCCAACTTTAAAGCAGGTTATCATGGGCTCCGATAAAATCAGTTCTCCCTTCATCAAGTCTGCATAAATAACAAACGCATGGGGGGCAAATATGTCACCAAGAGCTATAGTAATGTATAATAGTAAAGAACGACTTATGGTTATTATGGTCTTAATGGAATGTACTGTTCAGGAAATTGAAAGGGCAGTAAGCAAAATTTTCAGGTATTAAAATGGTATATTATTAGAGAAATTATACTAAATAATTGACAATAATCTTTGAGTGTTATCTCGTGGTATCGTGTCTATAACTCTGTGATCAGAATAAGTACGGTACGACATATCTTCGAATATTTATATAAGAACAGGCCCTTCGAATTTCATTTTTTTTCTTCGTGTTTGCGTTATTTCGGTAAATAAAATAAAACACTATAGGGACACCGTATGAAATCTGTATCACTATAACCGTCCTCTAGAATGATTATATATTCAAATTGGATGTTCATAAATTTGCATAAATTACATACAATAAACATAAACATAAACAAACATAATCGTCTTATATTTCTTACAAAAAATGTGAAATAAGACTATGTAATCTTATATATACCTGTTAATCATAAAACTGTAAGCTGATGCGTGAAATTGAATCGAAAAACTTGTATGGCGACCTGATCTCGCGTAACAAGGAACAAGGCGATAAAGGCAGGTTAGATTGATCTAGACAGCACATTGACTCTTCTTTAAAATGAATGGTGTATGAGATAGTGACATCTAAATCTGTTGAAGGGACAATTTCGCCATTTTCTCAGAAACAGGATTTTTTTTTTAGCTAAGGTTCGGTCTATCAGTAATAGTGTTCACAGCTCACTGTCGAAATTTGAGCCTTCAAATCCATGTGTGTACAGAATTATCAACGTTTGAAAGTTAGAAAGACACGTCATTTTAATTTTAAAATAGTAATGAATTCCTGGTTTTAGGTATTTTTGAAGGAATTTTTGTACATTTCTACTATTTCTGATGACCATTTACATATACATGCATTCAAGACCCAAATCAATCCTCCGAAAATTGGGCATCTATCCCTTAAGTTTTAATGGAATTGCAAGATTGTCGTTACAGACGTCGAAAAGAAAATAAAATAAGAATGGGGTCAATAACTACAATTAAAATCCATACAAGCGAGACAATAAATCAAAATTTCGTCCAAAGCATGGCAAAATCGCTTAAATTCTTTAAGAGTAGGCCTAATTTGAACTCAATAACCAAACAAATGATAGACAGGTGGTTCGATCACGTGAGTCAGGGATCACAGTAAGGAATAAAACAAAAGAAGTAATGAAAAACATATATCAGCTGAGAGTCAAGGGGCACAGTAGTCATTTCCGACATATAGAAATTTTTTCATCTCTTAAACCAAAATTCCAGATTGTCCTTTTCACCGGATTTTAAATAGGCCTAACTTTAAACAACAGCTTAGTAAAACGCCGGTAGAATATGTCTGAAAGTAATTTAAGATTGAGTCAAGTTGTCCTAATGACGTTGTAAATCGAAATCCACTGCATAAGATGAAGATAACTTTGAAAAATGTCACGAAGAAATTAATGAGCTAAACTCAAATCATACAGTTTTGTTGGACTCACTCCACTAAAACATTTTATGCAAATGATTAGAAATGTAGTCCAGGCTATTTTTAGAAATCTTCTTTCTCTCTCCCTTTTGGGGTTTTTGCATGCCTTTTTTGTGGTAATTTTTGGTCTAGATTTGGAATTTGATGTCTGAAATTGCATTATCTTTAAGATTTGGTGAGATGATGAGAGACCTAAATATAGTCGTTTTGTGAAGTGCCAAATTCTAGCGGATGAGTATAACCGGTAGTAGTCTACTTTCAATTTTCGTAGCTCCAAATTTTCATGGTCATCATATATTGAATTTTTAGGAGACATTTCATTCGACATATTGGAAAGGTTTCAACGAGATTTCTGGAAAAAGTTGTATAAGGTTGAATTTCGTGTTTTAACATGGGAAGAGATGGCAAATGAATTAGTGAGTGAGTCATGTTGATAGTTCAAGGGAGGTAATAATATATAACATAAAATAATACTTTTACATCAACTTCAAGAGAGGCAACGCATACCAATTAGCAATGAAATATCAAAGACGACTTATTGCTAAAGAACTGATAAAATCTGAAACCTTAGACCTCTGTCGACTCAGTTTGTCGCAACATCTTTGAGTGTCCGATTTGATGTCAGGGGGCGTAACTCTATGCATGTTTACACCGGAAGTTTACATTTTCCCGCGAGTAAATTAATTATTTTTCTCACAATAATTCTTTCTTGGGAAAGTCAACAGCAACAAAATGCCTAAACGATCCAATCCATTTGGAGACTCTTCACCATTACAGTTTAAGACCCACGTTGGTAAGAAAGAAGTCGACATGGGCGTTTCCAGAGATGAAAATATGAAAGAGGTTTACGAAAAAACTAAGGAAATGTTGTTCAAAGGAGCTCAAAAACAGTACGAAATTGATGCAAACGCGAACCAGATCGGTTGGCAAATGGATGTTGATGCAGATCTTGGCGTGGAACCACTCCCTGGACAAATGTGTTTTGATAAAAACGGTCAACTGACCATAGCACCAACACTATCTCAACAGAATTCTACTGATTCCATGATGCCTGCTGTAAGTGTGCCCAGTAAATTCCAATTTTCTGATAGTTCTTCAACCAATGTTCCTGCCAATGCTTGCTGCCATTGTAGGAAACCATTTTCTCAACAAACTTTTTCTACTCGTTGTTACTTCTGTGATAAACGCTTGTGTTTCCCCTGCACAAGAAACTGTGATAAATGCAATGAGAAATTTTGTCAAATGTGTTCTCTGCTTAATTATGATGAAGCTTTTGAAAGGGCTTTCTGCTTCAATTGTATCCCTTAATGGGGATGAATTTACATTTGTATTGTGTATATATCCTAGACACTCTTTGAATGATAAATCGTAAGAATACACCAGATTGTAAAAGATTTGATAGTGCTATGTGCTGAGTAGAGTGTGTTAATTGTTGAAATTTTCAAATTGCAATTGACAACTATGTTATTTATATATTGTGTGTTATAACTTATGACTATAATAAATAATGGCTTAAGCTGAACATTGTCAATTTGTTAGCCAACAAAATTGAAATAATCATGCAACAACTATTGGACAAATAACATTGCTTATTGACAATTTTGTCCTGTTACTGGTGAAAATTGTAAGCCTGTTGTTTCTAATAAAAATAGTATATCTATAACGAGTCAGAACTACATCAAAACAAACTCTTCATGTCAATTTAACCAATTGTATGAATAAATAAAAAATAATTTGTTTAAAAAAAAAATTAAATGATTGAGATTTCCACTAGATATTTCAGACTTATTTGATATTTGCGGTCTAGAGAAACAGTTGTGTTGAAAGACATAACTGACTGATCCTAGCTCTGACAGCTAATATGTTGAACAATTGTCTACCTCTATATTTTCTTTTGTAGAAAACTTTATTTGTATAGCTACTGTTTTTGTTGAGAATTACTGTGTAATAAAGTATAATTGTTTAATCTTAATGTTTCAATGTCTTGAGAAATCCCCCTTGTTCTATCATTGTAACTGCTATTTCTTATATCATAGTTCCCTTTCGTTAGCCCTAGCCCATGAAGACTTGCATAATACTTTTGATATTTCAAATATTCCAGATGTAATTGACAATTTTTTGTTTTTGATACTTTGTTGTAAATAACTTTTTCGTTTATTAAATATTATCTACACCTGAGTACTTTTGGTGGTGCATATCTTGACCCGCGGAGTTGAATAATTGACTATTGATAGAAACAGGTGCCCTTTGTTGAGGGCTAGATTTATATAGACCATAGACACAGCAAAACTCTTAGCAACCTACATAAGTTGAAAATAATTTTTTCAGTTCATGTTTTGTTCGGAGCATAATTTCATGATGATTTATGGATCAAAAGGAACTAGGACTACTGCTGATTACGTTTTTGTAGTGTAAAATGTAACTCAAGTGGCAAAAGTTAGTTTGGTCTGAAGCAATGGCATTTTTATTTTTAAAATTGAAGAGTTCAGGGTACAAAAATAAACCAACGGCAACAAAATAACATAAATTTTTTATCTTGATTGGAATATTTAAAATCATTACACAATCATATTTCTTAATGTACTGAATCTCTAATATGTTTCAAAATCTTTCGAAATAAGAAAAAAAAAGTCTGAAATTTGTTCATCACGGGTCATTATCTAATGAACCTAATGTGGTCTGAATATGAGTTACCTCCCCTGAGTGATATACCTAAGGAAAATAACGGTAGTGTTACATTGTGATTCAAAATGATATAATGTGAACCGACATTCCTTTTGACCTGTAGTGAAAATGCCGCCTTGAGGAAGATAATGCCGCCTTGAGGAAGATAGGGCAGGGGTAATTCACTAATGTGGAGATGTCACCGGTGTTTCTTGTGTAATATTGGTATGGTAAAGAGAAAGGTAGGGTTACTTGCTCATTGCTTCATTTATGTTATTATTTATAGCCTATATATAAAATCATGTCCAATTAAGTTGGTCATTATCAATTTCTTCTTTTATTACTTATTTACCTCTCACTAATGCTGCTATATATTTTGTCATTTTAAATATCTGTCTCATCTGTTGTGTTATATATACATTATAAACCTTATAAACCACTGCCTCTATAAACAGGCCAGTATTCTCTGTAAACAGGCCGGTATCCTCTGTAAACAGGCCAATTCTTTCTTTTGCTGCATCTCCTCTGTGCTGGCATCTGGTTAATTAACTTCTCCAAACCAGCAACTGAATTCATTCCAAGATTAATTATCAGTAGCCTAATTCCTCTTAATCAACATTTTCCATTTGCCTTGCGGGCTGCCAATTTAGAGGGATTTAGGCCTACTAATATCTTGCAAACTAAAATTTTTGATTTACTTAATATAAATTTGAACCATGGGCATGTCCAAATGGTACCACCAGTATCTCAGTTATGCCAGCTTTTATGAGCTTCCGTATTTAGTAATGAATTTGCTTTTAGAAAAGTATTGAGGTTATTAGTTTGTTTATTTTATACCATCTATACTTTTGTGTTGATGTTGATATTTTTTCTTTTGTAGAATGGCCTCCTGTGATAAAATAGAGAGACTAAGAGAGAGGTTGTTGGTGTGTCCAATATGTATGGATGAATATAAAGATCCGAGACTGCTGCCGTGCCACCATACAGTGTGTTTTGAATGTATTGGTAATATAGTACGATCTTCTTCTACTACAGGTCGATTATTTCGCTGTCCACAATGTCGAACTGATGTATTTGTACCGAGAGAAGGAATTGAGTCTTTCCCCATCAGTTTTTACATACTAAGTGTTCAAGATGAACTCGGTGTTAAACGTTATACCAGCTCTTGTGATATATGTCAGCACGATTGGATGCAATCTCAATTTAAATGTATCGATTGTGATTTGGATATTTGTCGATTCTGTATTCACCAACATCGTTTGTTTCACCATGATTCTTGTCGTCATGGTATTATACGTATCGAGAGTATTTCAAACTCAGCCTATCAGTCCTCTACACGAACGTGTCCCTCACATTCGGATGAAATCCTACAACTGTATTGCAGCTCTTGTGAGAAAGCAGTGTGTATCACATGTTCATGTGAGGATCACAAGACTCATGATACCATGCCAATGAGGAAAAAACTTCGACAGGCTCAGAAACAACTACAGTGTGAACTTGACAGTTTGATCAAACAGAAACAAGAATCTGCTACTTTGATTGATGAAATTCAAACCTCTATTGACAAAGTGAAAGAATCAGCCAGTAAAGCTCTTGATGGTATTCAAGAACGACACAAACATTTGCAAAAAATCTTGGAAAAAATGGTCACAGTGAAAAAAGAAACTTTGAAGAATGAGGAAAGAAAAAATTTACTAGAATTAAACACATTTCAGACTGATCTCAAATCTTATTTCGATCAACTAGAAAATGGGGTTAACTTTTTGGAAGAACTACAAGAAGGGGACATGTGTTTGGAACTTCTCGATGACTTCGAAAATTTTCAGAAATCTTTAACAGATGAAAGAAAACAACTAATAAAAAAACGGTTAAATGTAAATCAAATGTCATTTACAAATGGTGTTGATTACCAATTGGGTTTACTGGACTTTGTCGCTCTCAAATTTGGAAGTTTAACCACACAGAAAAAACTTCTGAAACTTTCTGAGTTTAAAAAATCAGACACTTCAGTGTCCAATAAGAATGTCAAGGTCACAAAAGTGAACGTCCAAATTATTTTAGGGTTTATGTTATTTCTGTTTTTATCGATATGTTTAAGTCAGTTATATACAAGCTATTTAGAACAGCCCCAAACTGTACACATCATTGGTTTAACTGCGTTTTTGTTGACATATTTATGTATAGCTGCTTACGTTGCTTAAAGTGATATATTTATTTGAATATAACTTTTTATAACCTGCTGATAAAAGTAAGACTAATTTGACTTCTGTCTGATTACTATAATTTGTTGATTGAATTTTTAATAACTATTGTGTACTTTACTTTATTAACGCACCTCTATTTTTCACTATTAATAAATTATAGACAGATATAGAAGTCTGTGTTTAAGTCTTTATAGGTTTATATTTAAATTGATAACTTTGATAGGTTTATATTTATCTCTAGCTAATCAGGGCGTGTTATATGTAAAGATCTATGTTTAAAAATTGACTGCTGAAATCCTCACCTAAATGTGTTTTTTAAATTAAAATTCAAATCTGCATATAAATCTGCCCTTATACAAATTAGAAAATTGAAATATATAAATTGATTGCTGCTATTATCTGCTATTTTCTTTTAGCAAAGCATGGTATTCATAACTAAACTTGACCAGACTATGATATTTATTTTAAGAATGTTTGACATAGAAGATTTCTAGTGACAATTAAGAAAACCAGTTTTTGTAGATCTGTAATTTTGAATGATTCACACAAACTTCTATGCTTACAATTTCCTTACAACTTGAAGGAATCCAGAAAAACCTGTTTAGAAGAGTAAGAAGGGAAAAAGAACAGGTTTAGATTAGAGATATATATGTCTCTCTGTGTAAAAAGTGATGAGTTGATTAATATGGAAGAGATTCACTGCCAAAATTATTACCAAGTTAATCTTACGTTTTAGACCTTTTCCTTTGTATTACCCCCTTTAAAAATCCTTGATCGATTATTCTTCACATTGGTCAAGGTTACCTCTTCATCTTATATCATGATTGCAATTGCCCACTTTCTTGTTTCACGATCAGCGATTTGATTGGATTGGTCATATGTGATAGCGTACAATCCACCAAATCACTGCATTCACCAACTTCCTTGAAAGAAGAAATTAGACCATTTTATTCAATGTATAAGATGAATATGTGATAACTTGACCATTGTGAAGATGACAAGTAGACTACTATGTCCAGATTGTTCCACTTCCTATTTAATTCAATATTTACGTCCAGTCTTCTTCATTTTGTTGTCAGTTGTTAATGATGTTAATTTTTAAGGAATTGATTTTAACAGAAATCCTAATGCATTTTACAAGCTGTTATATAAGTGTTGATTTTGTTATTCTGTTATTGTGATATTTTAATGGATGCGTTTGATAAATTGCTTGCTTTTTCATATCAAAGTGGTAGGTCTATAGTCATCTATATCTACTTTAAAGCTCTTAAACATCTACACAGTGAAAAAAGAAACTTTTCTACTTTACCATTTGATAGAACTTGATTTCAGCCAAGGATTTGCTTTTTAAATTTGTCAGTTTGATTATAATTAATTTCATCCTCAAATGCCCCTTCGCCAGGAATGAATTGTAACTTGAGGCCCTCCCCTGTGAAATTTAAAATTAAAAGCCCAGAGAACTTATTTGTGACGATTTTGAGGCGCCAAACACCTTATCAAAATGTTGCATCTTTTGTGTTTTGACCGAAGACACTGCATAATAATCAATCTTGACTGAACTACAGAAGGTTTGCGGGGGTTTAATTGTAACTGCTTACTAACAAGAAAGGTGGCTATTGCAGTCAAGGTATAATAGCTTCACATTGTGAAGATGATAATATAGTACAATGTATAATAAAAGTCTGTGTTATTTTACAATATTGATGTTTTGTATTTATTTACTAGTTTGATATGATTTGTATTAAAATATATTTTAGTGCTTCCACTGTCTTTTCTAAATAACATATCATCCTGGGGTGTGATGCTGATAATTCTAGACACACATGGATTTGAACGATCAAATTTCAATGGTGAGCTGTGAACATTATTACTGATTAGCTTAGCAAAAATATACCTGTTTCTGAGACTAAGGTATGATTAGTCAAACATATGGTAAACCTGTCTCTTTAACTTATTTTTATTGAAGTTTAGCATCAGTAACCAAACAATAAAAGAAAAGAAAAAAATCTAGAGCTGTACTGATCTGAAAGGGATGAGTCTAGGGTTTCATCTCAAAGTAGGTTGATACCTGGGAAAACATCATAGGGGATAGCTTAGAAACCTTTTTAAATACAACTGTATCAGCAGTGATGGAATATTCATCTCCTTTTGCCTTTCTAATGGTGAACAAACAAGGGGGAAGAAGGGACAACAAAGCATACAATCAGGTAACAAAAAGTCCTAAAAGTTGAAACTTTAGATACAACCCCAAAGCTAATTCACCAAATCCTAACCTCTAATAATTTTAGTGCTCCTTTTATCTGATTTGTCAATCACTAAAGTTAATTTTAAATGTGGCTTTATTAACCAATCAAATTACTATAAGATTATTTCATTAAATTATAATTCATTTGGCAGTGCTCAACTGTTTACATAAAATTGAAACTGTAGTCATCATATCCAAACCACACCCCCATTCATCATACTTCTCGGTCAAGTCTGTATTCATGATACGATGAATCTGTAGTGAAACTTTCACAGTGGGCCGTTTGATCTGAATTTTATCTTGATTTTGTGAAACAGGCCCCACTAGTTGGTATATTTAAATAAAACAAGAGTTCCACATTAGAGAATTAATTTATTGATATACTATAATTGAACAATATAAATAAAAAGATAACAATTATGAATAAATAAATAAATAATTAATAATGCTGATATGGAAAGTAAAAAAGATACAAAAATAAGTTTTTCTCTGATTTTTTTGGTTACCCATTAATCATTATAATTATTGTATATTTTTAATATTTCTAATTATTGTTTTATGAAAGACATATATTCTAAGTTTTTGGTAGAGTTTTCTGGATGGCATAACAATACCTTCAATGAAGACTGCAGGCTTATATTAGGATTTTAATACTATAGAATTCCAATCTAAAATGATGTCACAGTAAATTTATAATTATATTAAAGGGACTTAAAGGTTATTTTTTAAATAGTAGGTCTAATCCTTGCACACAAAAAATAACTTGGCATCTTGGTTGTAGATTTCAATTTTGTAGGCTGACACATTGAATTTGATGATTAGATAATGGTTTTGTATGTGTATCAGGGACACTGACAGCATCAATTTGCACCATTCCAATTTTCAATCAGATGTCTGTGGTTCAGTCAATTCCACAAAAAATAAGTGATCGGTGATGTCACTAGTTGCAATATGCTTGTATTACATAAGGCCCTTTGCTATTAGTGATGTCAAACACTTAGTTATAGTAGAATTACAATCCCTTTTAAACAGATTTAAATACTATGTTGGATTATCTAGTTAAGATGAAGGGTTTTTTAGTGACTAGCAGTCAAAACACCTGACATAAAGCTAGTCATCTTCACAATGTAGAACTATGACAAACTTCGTCTTATACCTTAAGTGAAATAGCCACCTTTCTTGTGTCATGGAATGCAGCGATTCGATTGGATTGTATGTCAGTAATTACAACCAATCAGAAGCCTCTCATTATCTATATTTGATAGAGTTCAAAACGATACATTTACAAACTTCTGTGATACAAGAATAGTGACTATTGCAGTGAGTTTGTAATAGCCTGACATGAAGCTAGTAAGAAACTAGAGATATGACTATATATACAATATGAAATAAGCTATAAAATACCGGTCACCGTCTACCCTAGTTGAACATAAACAATTATTATTTTACTTTTCATTCAATATGTGTCAATAATAATAATAATAATAATGAGATATTGTTTTTAAATATTTCCTTTAATAAGTGATAGAACTCAATATTATCTGTAACACTTCAATTTCAACATCTGACACCTAGTTTAGCTACAATTTAATAAAGGTCAACAGTTCAATTATTCAGTCTGCATTTTTTATATAATTGTTTCTAAAGTAGATGACAGATTAGCACAGAAATACAGAGACAGAGATATGAAGCTTTTTCAACAGTTAAAAACATATTTTCCCTTGATTATGTGCATCCCATGATGATATTATAAAACATTGCTTTTACTTAAAAAATATTATTTGAGACGTAACCCTTTAAATTATAAAATATTTGAATAGTAAATATAAAGATTAAAATTAAAATATGAGATCCATAACAATTGCCTTGTTTTACACATTAAAATTAGGAGATGCTTTACTTTAGTAAAACAATATAATACAAGGTCATACAAAATAAATAGTCTGTTTTATAGGCCTTTTTTTAAAAAATCAGGGTGAGAGGGCGAATTTTTTATTTATAAGTGCTTTTTTAGATTTTCAACTGGAATAAATCGGAGCGAGCGAAAGTATTTATTATTTATTTCCACAAATTTAATGTACATCTAATATTAAGGCAACAATCAGGCATTTTTGGGCCTGTAAAACAGACTATTTATTTTGTATAGCCTAAATGAAAACTAATTAACAATAAGGCACCTGAATTAATCAATTTAGTAATAGATATCACTTAATGTTTAACAGAGTTTTTAGATGATAAATCATCATATACAGGCCAACTATTCTTGAAATGATATTAGGGCTAGGATGTCCCCAGTGTCTTAACTTCTATCACTGTTTCTAGGATATCCTAGTGCTTAGATCATTTCAAGAATATGTTGCTTGAACTTCAAGCTTAAAGAGTACATTAACAACTTACAATGATAGTGGCTGCTTATAAGGCCATGAAAGTACCAGTCTGTTTAATGATTTTCCTGCTTGTGTACAAAGAATGAAACAAACCCAATTCTGGACTTCAATATTTTTTGTTTAACAGCATAAAAGAATCTGATGAGGACTGTACATCATGTACATCATAATGCTATGTAACAATACTGAGCTGCTCAACAGAAAGCAAATACATTTACTTTGTGGCTGGTGGAGTAGCTGCAAGTGTACAAAAGACAGAAGAGATCAAGTACCATAGTTTTTCTTTGGCATAATAAGAGAATAGGATAAATTGAATTTGACCTAAAGACAAAACAAACATAAAGAGTGGGTTTGCTAACTTGAACCATACTCTTCCTTTTCACCATTTTCTAACAGACATTCTAGCTTGTATATTGTGACGACGATATTTCTTCGAAGCAAACATGGTTTTTGTGGGCGAGGTAAAAAATGGCTGCTGTAATGGGGGTAGACGGAGTGACTGTCAATGATTTCTATCAGGTATTCTTGACGTAGATTGACTCGATGATGTCTGAAGTGATGAGGTACTGGGTGATTGAGACATACTTCTTAAAGGGGCTACTCTGGGAATTTTCTTCATTTTTATTGGCAATGGATTTGAAGCACTGAAAAAGATTAAAGGTAAGATGTACTGCTGATGTACTGACATTGTGGTTCCTTACAACTAGGAATTGGGTTTTAGCACTTTATAAAATATCCCCTGCTGTTAAGAAAGTGAAATGAAATGAATGGAATTTTAGGTCCTACTTTCTGCACCTTCTTGGACCAATGAAGTGTGCAATGAGGGAAATTTTGTCAGGACACTCCTTTTCAAATTCAAACTGTTGAGGGATCTTTAACATGCACAGCCTGTATCACACAATACCTTGGTTTATTGTCCCATCCAAACAACGAGACACTCTTACCATGTCAACCGATCTGCATCACTGACAGAGGGAAACTGGGTTGAAATATCCAAAGGTATCATCTCCACCTATACCAGGATTGAACCCTGGACCTTCAGGTTAGTTAACAAGCGTCTCACTCAAAAAGCTACCCTAGATCCAATGTCTCTAGGGAGAATCAAGGCTCCAGATTGTATGGAATTGACGTCGACTTCACTTGTGAGTATGTATGCTTACCTTGATTTAGAATCAGTAGGTTTAACAGGAGCACTATATAAACGGCTATCTCTATAGGCTAGGGTGGTAGCATTAGGTGGGTTCCATTGATGGCTGACATTGTCTGTAGGATTCTGTAGATGTTCTTCTTCTTCGCAGTATGATGAGATCATAGAAATTCCTGGAAATGCAAACTCAAAAATAAATTGTGTTTTTGAATGAAAGGCAGAACAATAAGCTTTTAATAAATAAAATGGAGTGATACATGCTATTCCTTCTACTACTGATTGAACTAGAGAATAAAGGTAATGCCATGTAATAAGAGATGTGAGATGCTATAAACCTAGCTAATAGTAAATCAAATACATTATACTAACCTTTCTGTTCCATTCTGTTAAATCTCTGTATATACTGATCTAATAGTAGATTATAATATCTCGGCTGCTCAAAAAATCGTAAATATTTATGAGTGGTGGGGGTGGGGAATACTCTCTGAAATCCTCCCTTTCTACTGTCTTCATCTATACATGAGGTCAAAGTTCGAAGGTCATCTGGGGTCATTATATCAAGGATAGTCTGCATTATATGCTACAAGATAAAAAAAAAAACAAAATTGATATAATTATACTAATGTAATAGAAAAACCTTCTTCATGAGTCTTTTATTAAAGAAGTATTTTTCATAGCTTCTTAAAACATAAATCATGCATGGGGCAATGCACATATAAAGAAAATATATATATTGATGAAGAGAACAGATTATTTGGTTGGTATCCTATTTTCAAAAATATCAAAACTAGGGCACATCTAACATAGAAATATTGGGAGACTTTCTGTGCCCTACATATGTTAAGACATCAGTAAGTTAGGCTTTGTTCACTTTTATCTACGGAGCTTAAATAATCTTAGCTTGACCATGGAAGGATGATCTTACCTCGTCTTGACTACGTTGACAGTAATAAGCATGTTTAGCTCGTTCATCAGGTGAAAAAACTGATGTAAAAAGTCGCTTATCCATACAATAATCATTAGATGGCTGATGTGAGCTGAAAAAATAATAAAACAATTTGAAAACTTCCACCACAATCTGATGATTAACACTTTACACACAAATTGTGGGGATATGTTATTTATAATATTCATCAGAACGTCTTTTTGTCAACTCCTGATTAAGTATATGACACACCATGCAGTGTGCAACAAGGGAGTTTTTCGGGACATCACACTACACAGTCTGTAGCAAATGGAACTGTGGATTATTGTCCAAATTCACATAAGACATTCCTAGAACCTGCATCATGGACAGTGATGACAACATTGACTTCAATTCTCAGTTTAGAAAGTTGCACCCAAACATTGACTTAATTTAGGAATGAAAATATCCACTTTTCAAATTTGCTGTGTATTGGAGAAAGTATGTAAGGATGTTACCAACCTGAAATCTGATATCTGTGTAGAAGAACCAGGATGAGCAACATCTGATTTGTCTGGTACCAGGAACCCAGCAATATTAAACAGATCTTTTATCATCTGTCCTTTAATATTGATATCTAGCTGAGAGTTGGAATGTAGACTGAAATAAATAATTAATACTGAACATTATCTCAATATATACCAATAATCCAGTATACACCATACACAACTGTCCACTATATACAGGTAATATTAGATATGTATGTCAGGTAAAACTATACATGGATGTACACTATACAAAATCAAAACTGACCACTATACACAGGTACTATGTGGATGATCACTATATACAACATTGTTCTGTGTACAAAGGCAATTCGGTGTCCATTATTTACAGGTAATATAATGTCTTCAGGATATTATGTATGTCCACTGTATACATGTAACAGTATATGTTGATATCCACTGTATACAGGTCATAATATATGCTAATGTCCACTGTACAAAGAGGTCTATATTATCATATATAAGTGTACACTACAGTATACTAATAATATATGGATGTTTACAATATACAGGTAATATTATATATTCATGTCCACAATACACAGGTAATATAATATAGTATATGTCCACTATATACAGGTCATGATTTGGACGCCTCTTAACGCCATATTGCACATTTCATACAGGTAATAGACAATACACTCGTGGGCTTCATAAACATTTGTATAATTTAAGACATTACTTCAAGAGATGGAAAATCTTACCTAGGTGAAATGTTGACTTCAATGATCCATGGCTTTAGAGTTTCATCCAACATCACATCAAAACCAAATAATTCATGGACACAGTATCGACTTTTAACATTAGCTTTAATCATACTATTAATAGGGCTCTCAGAACTGAAATCAGATTAAAAATAATACAAGATTCGTCCCTTGAAATACAAAATATGACTCATATACTGATTTAATATTTTGTTTATAATTGATAGTCTTTATTTTCAAGTCTGTGAATAATGTAGAAATATATTTACCTTATAATAGTCTTGATTGCCAAGTCTTTTATACTATCCCATATTGCAGTAGTGTTAACACCACGTTTCTTTAAAAAACTCCACAGACTTTTCAAACTCCTAAAATGATAAAAATCATTAAACAATAACTCAAATTTTTTTATCCCATTCGTAAAAAGCTGTTTCGATGTGGATTTTTTTTCTGAAGTATTGCATTTGTTAGCAGCATGAGTTGAGGCCTTTACAATTAGAATACTACTCTTTTACTCTTTCTGAAAGAAGCTCAATTTTCTGATAAGAGGCACCTATCCCAAATGAAACAACAAACATTGTTTCGATATCAAACAATTTGAATTAGCTTGACCTTTGACCTTACCATTTATGACCTTGACATACAGTATCATCAGTATTACTCTGATACTCTGTATTACGTTTATTAATACTGTAGTTAGTTAAATGCATGTATTTATTATTTAATGACTTCATTGATGACGAATATCTGAAATATAAATAATACTCTTTCAACATAAATTCCTTCATCTCAATCTTACACAATATGAACACCCTGCACAGTGGCTGTTTCCACAAGACACCATGTCATGTGTATCAGTTTTTATAACTTGGAGTTCAGGAAATATTATTTTCAATCAATCTTTTCTATATCTGATGTATATTTTTTAGGGCTGGAGGAATAACAATAACTACTAGTATAGCAATTTATATTGTTAGATGTATTGTCTCATTTTATAATATTGTAATATCACAATACTTCCAATATTGCCCATCCCCGATCTCTTCTGAACTGTTATGACTATTATAGCAATAACTCAATATGATTCTAAAATTATAAATAAAATTCCAATCAACTTACTTGCAGGAAGCAAATCTAGCCAGACCATCTTCATAAATATAAATACGTAAAGGATCATATCCACTGACATACACATATACTCTCATATCAAACTTACTATCATTGATTAGATAGGGCCGAGATAAATATCTGCAAAACAGGAAAAGGTTCAGAAATGTAGTCACTGACATTATTTTCCTAATTTCATTTGGAAAAATGTTTTTGTTCTTGCAAAATCTTCCTTTTTTTACAGTATTTCTTTTGACTTCATTTATTTTTTTGGTAAGAATTTAGAATATAATGGCAATGCATCCACTTTGTTCAGTACCACACAAAGAAACACAACATAAGTTTTCAAAATCACAATTCATAAGTATATCAATGATATCAAGAAAGAGTCAGAATGGATCTTTCAAGAGAGGAATGATATTATTGAACTGTATTGACAGTTACTGTGACAAGACTTAATACCAACCTTTGAACAATAACTGGCTTTCGTCGAGGTATCTGAGTCCATTTATGAATAACTTTAATACCAATACCCCTGGCTGAAGCTGGCTACAATTATAAAATAATACAAGCTAAGGTAAAAAAAATTCACCACCTGACTGTTTTTGAAAAATTAAAACCAAACAAAATTCATAAATAAGGATTACTCTATAAAATTCCCATCAATCCCCCATCAAGGATGAATATATCGTCAAGTAATTACCAAGTTTTCAAAGAAACTTACTGGTTTGATGATCCATTTCTGTTTACTACCACCATCCTCCCAGGCTCTTTTTAATAACTTTAAATCTTGAGGCAGAACATAAGTCTGTGGAAAAAATCCAAACTCTTTCTTTCCAAAATGAACCTGCATTCTAGAAAGATTTCTCCATAACCGATCTTTTCTACCAATTTGAAAAGAACCAGGAAAATGATTCAACTGAAATATCGAACGATAAAATATTAGTTAAACAAGGAATCAAGATTTCACAGCCAGAAATTTCAAAGCATCAACTAAATACATTTATATAAAGGTGAGTCTAATCAGTCTGAAGAGTTCAAACACGAACGAAACTAGTCATCGATAATCAGGGTTAACTGGTCGCATAGCCAATCTTTATCTCTTAATATATTTCTAACATTCCTAAAGGCTTTACGTCCACACAGCACTGTTCAAACGGCCAACTCAACCTTACAACACAACTATATATTTACTTTTACAACTAACAAATTAACATACCTTCTGATATTCCTTGATAGCTTTAAATCCCTGAGATTTCATATGTTTACCAAAACATCCCAACCAATCATGATTTTCTGTAATAAAATAAAGAAATTACTATTATATAAATTTCTATGCATGTTTGTAGATTCCAGACATGAGGCCATGTTTATAAGAAATTGGAAGAACAATCTGACCAGATTCTTTATTAGAAAGAGTCATTTGCAAAATGATCTCATATTTCAAAATTCATTAAAAAAAACAAAAATAAAATAAATCGTGACTGCCTTGCATTGTATTTCTCAATCAACCTGTTGTATGATGATGTGTGCATCATTTTCGGCCATTATTACCCAATATCATAACATTATCAGTTGAACTTCCAACACTTGAGTTCATAGAGACGTGTTGTGTTGAAGGAAAGATACTGTATGAGTGATAAACCCTTCAACTTACTTTTACTGATTCTAAATCCTACTCTAGCTAAAGCTGATTTGACTATATTGGGTGTGATAGGGCTCATTCTCCATTTTAATAATTTACGAATCTCCCATGGTAACAGTTCCACTAAAATATGTAAAATACATTTTGATGAATCATTCACCAAGATATAAATTTCAAAATTAAAAAAAAAAACATTTTTTTTTGGGGTAAATACTCATCCATCCTATCAAGGCCTAATTTACTGGCCGAAAATTATCAAAATATTTTACGATCAAAATTTACGAGGAGTTTAACACAAGCAAACTCTACACTAAAATGAGACCACAAAAATACAAAAAGACTACAAATAAATAAAAGTATCTTACCTTTCTCATTTTCAGATATAAAATTGATAGTTGGAGGAATGTTTGGAAATAGACTAGGACGTAGTGCAGGACGGGTATAAACACCACCAGTTATATTAGATAATGACTTAGATTTTAATATAGTTTTTGTGTTAGAGGGACGACGAATTCGAACATTGACAGCTGAGGATGCTGGTCTACCAGACGACTGCCGAGACAGACTGCTTGTTATAGAGAAACCATCAGATTCACCTACAGACAACAAAATATAGAATTAATGAATTGATAAATCAATGATAAAATGAATGGATGATTTGATAAATAAATGAATTAATGAACGGATTAATGGATATATAAATGAATGAAGAAATGAAGAAATGAATGAATGAAGAAATGAATGAATGAATGAATGAATGAATGAATGAATGAATGAATGAATGAATGAATGAATGAATGAATTATCCAACCATCATCACATAACCACAATGTCAAACATCAGAGTGGAACATTACATTATTTCTGCAAAACACACCACACTGCTCAATTAAAAGAGCATTCGGTCAACCATTATTTACTGACCTTCAGAATCAACACAAACATCATCATCTAATCCATCAACACCATCATCATCTTCGTCCAAATCTTCATCATCATCTTCATCATCTTCCAGACTGGCTTCACCATCTCCTGGTAATCTCTCTCTGAAAATCATTACATTAAAGAAGCTTATAGCCTAAATAAACTTACTGTTGTAAAACTCTGAGGTCAAATTCTCAAAACTTTAACCTGAAATTTTAGCATTCATGTCATGATTGGTCAATCACTAAAATCGATTTTGAATTCAGTGTAAATTAAATCAGATTACTGTATCTTAAAATCCAATTTTTGAGGATACAGGCTGGTCATATAAATTGACTGACAAGACAGAGCTAGCAATATATGAGAAATGAGAATGAGAAATAGTGCCTTATACTAGAAATATTGTTCCAAATCCAATGTATAGACTAATATATAGAAAGTGCATGTATTTCTAAATAGTTATTTTGGTTTCGTGTTTTGCATTGCCATTTGGATCATTTATATTTGAGTTTTTTGTGAAAGACTGTCAAACAGGGCTGATGATTTGGGTGTATTTTTCGGACAAGCAGCATTACATCGAAAGTGTTATCCTTAATATTTAACTAAAACTACTAACAGGTCATGCTGTAAAGTGAAACTGATATATCAAAGACTGTGGCTCTTAATCCATGAAAGCGTGCAATTGAGTATATCTTTAGAGTGCAAATTTGTAAGCTTATATTTTATACAGATTATATGATGTGATATGATTTCTTCTCGTATCGCAAGCCAAGCCGTGCATGCATCATATAAGTTGTGTTTAAGCCTTGATTGTGTAAAAGTATTATAATTAATCTCAAAATATTACCAAATAATTGTCATCTTGCACACTAAAATATCAAATATAACTTTGTTTCTAGATCAGTACTGTACTGTTATTTATCATAAGATATACAGATATCAAATATAACTTTGTTTCTAGATCAGTACTGTACTGTTATTTATCATAAGATATACAGATATCAAATATAACTTTGTTTCTAGATCAGTACTGTACTGTTATTTATCATATGGTATACAGATATCAAATATAACTTTGTTTCTAGATCAGTACTGTACTGTTATTTATCATATGGTATACAGATATCAAATATAACTTTGTTTCTAGATCAGTACTGTACTGTTATTTATAATAAGGTATACAGATATCAAATATAACTTTGTTTCTAGATCAGTACTGTACTGTTATTTATAATAAGGTATACAGATATCAAATATAACTTTGTTTCTAGATCAGTACTGTACTGTTATTTATCATAAGGTATACAGATATCAAATATAACTTTGTTTCTAGATCAGTACTGTACTGTTATTTATCATAAGATATACAGATATCAAATATAACTTTGTTTCTAGATCAGTACTGTACTGTTATTTATCATAAGGTATACAGATATCAAATATAACTTTGTTTCTAGATCAGTACTGTACTGTTATTTATCATAAGATATACAGATATCAGAGAATGAATCATTTAAACATATTTTATAATGCCTACTGCTTCAAATGCTGAAATTTGTTGTCCCTGATAAGAAAGTCTTGATTTTACTGGCTGGGTTGAAAAAGTTCTAATGAAACATATAAATTTTATTTGATTGAGTACAATGTTCATGTTTGTTCTTGGTCAGACCAAGACAGTCATTCCGTTCGTGCACACTGTACCCTGAAGGTAGCCTATTCACACCCAATGAGGGAAATTTTGCCAGGACAGCGGCATTAGCCTGCTCTTTTTCGATTTCCAACTGTCGAGGGATCTTTAATGTGCACAGCCTGTAGCACACAGGGCCTCGGTTTATTGTCCCATCCGAACGACTAGACGCTTTTTCCATGTCAGCCCCTCGTACCTGCATCACTGACAGGGGGAAACCGGGTTGAAAATCCGAAGGTATTATCTCGACCTATGCCGGGATCGAACCCTGGACCTTCAGGTTAGCGAGCAAGCGTCTATCTCACTGAGCACCGCGGCTCCCTATTCACAGCATAGCAATCACTAGTTGTGTATGTATGCAAATAAGAATTAGCAGTCATAATTCACCTCGAACACTTCCATTTATATTCTCTACAATACGCAACTTGTAAGGAGTGAGGGCAACTAAATATACAAAAAAGAAAAGAGAAATTAGCTGTCATCACTTCACTCTGGTTTTTTGAAGGGAGATAAAAAAAAATCATTAAAATTTTAACTAACCCAGAAGGAGTTCCACCTTCAGACTCTTCTACATCATCTCCATCATCTTCCTCACCAACAGAATCCATTCTCTTCTTGGAACTACTCATTTCAGACGATTTCCCATCAGCTGCCCCAGGGGTGGAGCATGGTGCCCCTTCTGCTTTTGGTCGTTGTTCAAAAATCAGCTCTTCAGACTTTGAACCCTTGCGATAAAAAACTGTACTGCTAGGATGTACTGGAGGTTTATTCAAAGGTTCAGAGTTTATTTCAGAGTTTAAGGTAGTTGTTGCAGTCAATTTCACATTTTTTCCCACCTGAACTGGTAAGATAGGAGCTGTGTAATTTGTTATTGGTGTCACTGCTGTGCTGGTTTTTTTCACTGGAGTGTTGGTATATTCCAAGATGGCAGCTGTATTTAACGAAGGATTATAAACTGTATTGACATCTTCATAAGGTTTTGTGGGCGTGTAGTTTAGATTTCTAACTTTTGCCAACATTTCAAATGCTGTATCATTCTGATTACTGACAGGTTTTTTAGTTTTTGGTGGGCTTGGTTTTGGACTCGGTGGTTTTGAATTTAATTTTTTATCTGACTGAAGCTTGATTTCAGATGTTGCTTGAGACATGGCAGCTTTATAAGTTATGGATTTTTTATCAGACTTCTCACGAAAACTGTTCTGTCCATTCACTGTTGGTTCGTCTCCATTTAAAACTGGCTCAACCTTATTAGCATCGGCAAGTTTACACCGAAATTTTTTAGCAGATTGAACTCTCTGTAGGTGTGATTCTCTATGAGCAGCACTAGTTGGTCTCATGAAAGAATTAGGTGTTTTTTTGGGTTCTTCTTGTATAATCAGTGGTGCCTCTCTTACTAGTCCTCCTTGCGGTAGATTAGTCATCATGCTGATACTAGGACTTTTTCTCACTTTATTTGGCTGGTTTTGTAGATTATTTGGTAAAGGAACATCTTTGGCACTTAGAGGTCTAGTATATGGATTAGATGCTGGCTTTGGAGAGGCAGTAGGATTTTTGGTATTATTTGGCAAGGAGTTGGCGTTTATGGCTGTAACAGATGGTGCTCCATGATTTGTAGTAAGGTTATGTTTTGGTGTGGTAATGGAGGTGTTACTAATCAGCGAAGATGTGGATGAAGAGAAGCCATCTTTATGTAGCGGTAATGAGGTCACATCATGATTGTAAAGTTGAACAGGTTTTGAAATGTCAGTGTTGTATTTTAAGACAGGTTTCTGTATTTGTTGTCGTCGTGGCAACTGTTTTTGACCCACTGAGAGATCTTCAACACTTGAAGTGAGGGTGTCCAATTCGTCCATAATGTTGTGTTTGTTGTATCAGTGGTCATTCTTCATCCATCCTTATTCTTCCAGTCTGAAATGAAAAATGTTAGAAATCAGTTTGGTAGTCAAATATCAACTAATGGATTGGAAATGCTAAGTTCCACATCAGCCCATTCTAATATTTCTAATCACAATTAATCTTAATTCTAATAGCTCTGTAAACTAGATCAAAGATATAGCTTTGCATAAGACTAGTATAATATATGCACTTTTAAATTTGATTTTACAACAGAGGACTTGGCCTAATAGAGTGGACTAGTCAGTAGGAAGAAGCTAAGTGAGAATATAATATTCAGATAGAACACACAATCAATCGAGGACTATCTGTACTGTTTTTATGCTGATAGTCCTATTCAAATTCACTTGCAAAAAATTAGCCTACGTACCGACGAATGTTGTTAGAAAGTAGATAGATAAATAAGTTGGCTCTCTATGACTATGATGATGTCAAATTTAGTTTACCGTACTGAATTAGCCTAATCTTAGTGCAAGTTCACTAGATCGAGTTTTCAGTAATAAACAAATAAATCCTACTTATTCGAGTGCATCCCAAAGATCAAATATCCTTTCAAAGTCCTGATAACGAAACAAGTAACCATTAAACTCTAAATGAATTAAAAATCTGAAAAATCTTACTTTCTGCAAGTAAGTTTGCCATTTTTGTCCGCCATGATGTAAACAATAATTGATGCTAAGGAACATAACGGTTTTATCCAGTAAAAAATAACGTTATATAGTGACAACCAATCAGAAATCCCGTTACTTGTTCTGATAGATTAGACTCGATCATTGAGCCGTAAACGCTTGGCAAATTCTTTACTGCTCTAACAAAACGAAAAATAAAAAATAACAATATTAGTTGCCACTAATGAAATACCAATATAATTATATAAGAGTGATAATAATATTCTACCTCGAAGGCAATATCTGCTAAAGTTCATTTTATTTAAAAAAACACAACTCTATGGTTTTATATTACATACCGAGTTCATTTCACATGCCCGTGATTCGATTGAGCTCAAAAGAATTCATCTTTGTTTTGGAAAATATTGTGACCCACATAATGGTATGTATTATTTTTAAAGATTTTCTCTGGTAAGAAGAAAAATACTTCGTCTAATTTTGATTGTCGACTATCTTTATGCAAATTTAGCGTAGATAATATTTATCTGATCAAGAAATAAGCTAGAAAATGTGTGTGTCCATTAATTTGATTTCTTATTATAAAATTCTTAATCGAGTTACCTCCCTTCAATTAATCACCAGATCTAAAAATAGAATAGTTGATTTAAAGGCACTCAACCTCAGAAAAATAGATTTATAAAATGTTGAATAAAAGGTGTATTTTTGCAGAGTTAAAATGTTTGATTAGTATGCATTTAAAGAAACGATCTTTATATTTCGGTCCTTAGATCAGTGAAATAGCAACGACGAATTTTGAAGATGCCTTATTTTAAGGATAATTATTTTAAAAGATATGTCTTATGGATACCAGTAGCCTATATCAGTAGTGCAGTACACCATAAAATCTGCCTACAATATAAAGAGGGGCTGTAACCTATGTCAGATTCGCCAAATGTTACAATAATACCTAGAATAGGTAATAGAAGAAGTAATATCTAAATAAATAAGAACACTATTATAGATATACTACTCCTTTCTTTAATTTCTGCAACGTTTCAATTCACATAGTAGTATATTCATAATAGTGTTCTTATTTATTTAATGTTTTATCTACTTCTAAATGTCATTTAGAGATTAAGTAATATCTGTCCTTAAAAAATTCTGGGTGCGGATAATCCGTGACAGATTATTGCTTGTAGGGTTGACCGGAGATCGACTTACAGACAGGATCGACAAATCTGTGTACTGGTTCTTTGGCGTCTTCTCAAGTGTCACGGTATTACGAGCTTCGTCTAATACATTAACTACAATAGCCATTGTTACTTTATTACGGAATGCAACGATTCGATTGGATTGTACGTCAGCGAATACAGCCAATCATACTCCTCGACAGAAATGTCTATGATTGGTTGTATTTGCTGTATAATCCAATCAAATCGCTTCATTTACAAACTTTCATGAAGGAAGAAAGCTAGCTATTGTATACAATCTATAAGTTAGTGATAGCTTGTCCATTGTTAAGATGGTTCTTAGAATGCATGTCTCTAAACAGTAAATGATCGTTTCCCCTATGTTTTATAGTAAACTAAGTTATTGTTTTATTACTGTTTATTTCAGATTTAAAAGACTCTTGATTCTCTATATAAATTCTACGCTATGGATGTGGAGATACGATCCTACCCCGACACTAGTTTTTATGTCGGGGAAAGTAGAAAGAGATGGGTGTATGGTACTTTTTGTATTTATTGCAATCGTGTTATATTTTCGGAGAAAACTGACGTAGAGCCCAAAAGAGTAGTCCTGTCATTTAACGACGTAATCAACATCCACAAGGCGACAACAACTATCATTTATGGAGCAATCGTCTTGACTGTGAAATCAGGAGAAACATTCTGGTTTTCTTCATTTCAAGATCGCGAAAGTGTGTTCAGAATGTTGTGTCATTTTCAAAAGAATTTGCTGATTAACAACCAAAACACTAGTAAGCCCCTTTCTAATTCACAAAGAACTGAAATGGGGACTAAATTGTTGGGTATTGCTACCAATTCGGTATCCACGTTGTCCAAGGCGGCTGTCATGTTGAACCAACAAGGCGAAAAGATCGACAATTCGTCTGCCATGATGATGAATATTCATAACGATTTGGACATTGCAGATCGTATGACTTCCGGTTTGGAGTCGTGGGTCGGACGGTGGAGTTTACCACAAGAGTATATAATGGTCAATCCAATCATTATCAAAGACAATGATATTCCTCAAGTGTTCGACTTCGATGTTTTATACACCAAAATAGAAATGGGAAAAGTGTGTCAGCAGTTAGAGGGTGTTATTCAAATATCTAAAAATGGTTTGAATATTTTGAATCTGAAACAGAAGATTTTGTTTCATTTTGGTTGGCCCAACGTGTCTAAAGTAAGAGTTATCAGCCCTTGGGAAATGGTGGTGATTCAGTATCAAATTGGGAAACCGGATATCTCGTTTTCGTTTGTATCGTCACTGTTGATCAATATCTTTGGTTCGGGGACAACTAAAAATTCTGTTACCTTTGGACAATTCCGCCAACTCAGCGTCGGCCCTGGATCGTCTAAATTGTCCACCAGCTGGGGAAAGACGACCCAAGAACAGGTTTTAAAAGAGAAACAGGTCATTACCAATGAAGAAGTAGATGAATTATCAAGTACGCTTAAGAATTTAAAATCAATGATGTTGGCGGTCGGGGAGGAAACTGATATTCAAAATGAAAAACTTGACCGAGTTACTGATTCTGTGGACGAGGCCAATATTAAACTTGTTAATGTCAACAAACGAATGAATAAGCTAATGTAGATGTTATTCATTTGTAATGATATGTATTTTCAATCGGTACTTCTCTGGATGAATTGTATGTAAGGAATACTGAGAAGACAATCCAAGTCACAGAAGATCTTGGGTGATCAAGCATGGTTAGAATGTGCTGTCTAGGAAGCGATACATTTTTTTATATTTTTAAAAATAATTTATTAATATTTAAAAGAATACTTACTATTGAATGTTTGTCACCATAGATATAAATCTATAACAATGTAAACGATTTAATAATACATGTACATGTACTGCTATAATAATATAAATTATTTATTATAACATGTTTATTATATACAATACATGTTCAGTGGGTTAATAACACTGTGTAATAAATACTGTTATTTTAACATGTTTATCGTAAACAATACATGTTCAGTGAGTTAATAACATTGTGTTATAAATGCTGTTATTATAACATGTTTATCGTAAACAATACATGTTCAGTGAGTTAATAACACTGTGTAATAAATACTGTTATTTTAACATGTTTATCGTAAACAATACATGTTCAGTGAGTTAATAACACTGTGTAATAAATACTGTTATTTTAACATGTTTATCGTAAACAATACATGTTCAGTGAGTTAATAACATTGTGTTATAAATACTGTTATTATAACATGTTCATTATATACGTTATGTTCAGTGAGTTAATAACACTGTGTAATAAATACTGTTATTTTAACATGTTTATCGTAAACAATACATGTTCAGTGAGTTAATAACATTGTGTTATAAATACTGTTATTATAACATGTTTATCGTAAACAATACATGTTCAGTGAGTTAATAACACTGTGTAATAAATACTGTTATTTTAACATGTTTATCGTAAACAATATATGTTCAGTGAGTTAATAACATTGTGTTATAAATACTGTTATTATAACATGTTCATTATATACGTTATGTTCAGTGAGTTAATAACACTGTGTAATAAATACTGTTATTAATAACACTGTATAATAAATACTGTTATTAATAACACTGTATAATAAATATTGTTATTAATATCACTGTGTAATAAATATTGTTATTAATAACACTGTATAATAAATATTGTTATTATAACACGATAGAGTTAATAACGCAGATATCAACATGTTTTGCTTTCTCTATGGCACACAATAGCACTAATAACGAAATATACACAAAGTCCACACAATTTTACTGGAGGGTTACCGGTCGAAACATCTGCTACCATGTTTGATAATAGTCACGACCAAATAAAATTGAGTTCCTCACTCGTTTACACGATTTTGAAAGAAGTATTACAAAATTCTCGAAATGCATTCACTTCCTAAGATAAAACAGACGGCCAATCAAATGCTTGAATCATTCTCATTTAATATTCCTTTTTTGAAAAAGTTTTATTTTTCGAGGTTCAAGCCCAGTTCTCATAGATAGAGAGAACTGTGCTTGGGACAATGATTGGTGGTCAAATTGGTTTCCAATCTGTCGAAGAGTTATCCCCTCTCTCTAACTGGCCTTTAAAATAGACTTGGTTTGGTTAACAAATGAAGTTTAGTATTTACGTTGCTAAAAACCAAGCCATCACCGAATTAAAATCAATGTTCTGCTGTTGACGGGCCATTTGTCTCTGTCTTTGTGTGTAGTAGGGTAGTCTAGCCGGGTTGGCTCGCTGATTGTAGAATGCTTGGCGATTTGGGGAGGCAATATTCCCAGATGATTGCCCTATTCGTGTTATTGGTCTTTTGTTTAAATTGGTATTAGTTACTGGAATGGCTACGCTTCCGGACTGTTTTTGTAAGTTTTGCAAGTAACGCCTCACGCTGTTTACAGGATTTTTAGTAGTTTGGAAATAATTCATGGAATTATATGATGCTTTGGTGGGAATGAAATTAAATCGAATTGGAATGACAGTAGTTGTTGGGTAATTAAAAGATATTGGTGCAGCTGTTGTTAGTTGATATTTGCCTGAAGCAAAAGTTTGAGGTACGTATAATCTGTTAGAATTGATAATTGTAGGACGAACGTTAACCATACCTGGCATGATGGTAGTTTCTGAAGCTACCCATCCATAATTTGGGGACAGGTTCGGTCTGTTCGGATTCATTATCACAGGACGAGCATTATTCGCTACTGGTCTGGTTGGGGTAGACTGGACAGTCGTGTTGGTTAGGTTTCGTATCATAGGTCTCATTCTGTCCAAAAGGTCTTTCCATGACATGCGCTGTGTTGTGGTCAGGTCAATAGACCTAGTGGAGGTTTGGACGTCCATTTTAGGTGTGGTTGTTGGTGGGTTGGAGTTTATAGCAGTAATGGGAGGAATGGGTCTTTGGCTTATTTTTAGGGTCGTAAATAGTTGGAAGGTTGATCCTCCAGAAAAGGCTTGATCGCTGAATCGTGGTGTCGCGGTGGATAGAGAAGCTGGAGAATCACTCATCATTTGACCCCTCTCGTAAGGTGTCTCTGTCAATTGGATTATCGAACCTGACGAAGGTTGACCGGGATTGGAGAAGAATGGATCGGTTGGTATTGCTTGGTTATTCGAGACGTTGGAAATGGGAAATTGATTGGATCTTGGTGTTACTAACGTTTCGGGGATATTGAATGGCATTGTATCGGTTCTTGGTGTTGCTGACTGATTAGGAATATTATTCATTGGTATTTGATTGATATTTGGTGATGTTGGTTGATTATAAACATCTGAGGGAGGATTAGTCTCCAATTGAGTTGTCATTGACTGGCCTACTGAGGTCTGAGGAATCGTTGTATCTCTTTCTGTAGGTGCCGTAGTTAGTTGTATTGTGGATATCGTAGAAAGGTCTGGCTTCCCCCTTTCTAAAAATGAAGTGGGTGAATTTGTTAAATCAGTAGAAGTTTCTTGTGTGTTGAAAATATCGGGTGATGAAAGCTGAACATTACCAGAAATTGACACTACATTAGACGCTGTTGGAATAGTGAATGCATTGTCTGCGGGTGGTTCCTGGGCTGTATTTGCATTGTTGTTCAGAACAGGCGAATCGGTTGTCAGTCGTGCAGTACTCGTGTCCAACACCGTTTCTGTTGACGGCAAACTTGTTGTTGATATAGTAGAAGTACTAACCGTTGGTTGTGATGTTGTAGTTGGTGCGTTTGTTGGAGTGGTACGTTCCTCTGTTGTAGGTGGAACGGTAGTCGGAGATGCAGTCGTAGTTGGTCGTCGTAAGGCAGCAATGAGACGCGGATATTGTGGAATGGCGAATTTCGAATTAATATCTTTGCCTTTGGATTCTAATCTATTGTTTTGTGTAAAATCCTGGATATACTTAATAGCTGCCGTGTCTACTGATGAAATAAGATCTGAATACTGCTGTATGGCAAAGTTTGATAATGCTCTAGAAGCAGTCTGGGGTGTGGTACCCCACAATTGAGGAAAAAGGTCCGGGTATCTGGGCAAGGCGAAATTAGACTGAAGCTCGTTTTGAGCGATCTCTACTGGTCCCGTATGAAGTATTTTAGCGAGCAACTGTACTCCCTTTTGTCCTTTTCCATTTAATAAGGAGTATTTCACTTTCTGAGTTTCTATATAATCCATAGGATTCGTCAGTTTGAAATTATTACCCACTGGAAGTTGCACTTGCTCGTCTTTATTAAATGCTGTGATGGTACGAACTGTTTCCGGTTGTGGTTTGGGTTTCTGTAGTGTTGATTCGTGAACTGAAAGTACATGATATATAATATCAATATTGTGGTGGCTTTCTGTGTTTGATAGAACCAGGTACTAGAGTCTTGTGGTATTGAATAACATAATACATCACCAACAGCCTCTAGAAGTAAAATCAAGATAGTCACGATCATTTTCAAAGTGAATATTCGAAATCTACGATTTTATACGCCCAAACTACGACGGATTTTTTCACCAATCCGGCCAGAGTTTCTAGTAACGCTATAAAGCCTGGTGGTACAGCTACCATATTGATAAGCTAGTTAAGTGTATACCTAGACCAAACCATCTGCCTTTATACCAACTTCTGATGGTTTTGGACTCCAAAGTGTACTCCAGCAGATAAACTATAAAAATATCTATCAGAGGCTGGAATATAACCAGTGTTTAGAACTAGTGTATACTCAGTCATTACATTCGAATTAGAGCGCTTTCCGTTTGTCTCAAACGAAATATTACAATTATAGTTTATGTAATTCTTTCATGCACATTTCCACAATAGTTTCGCAAAGGAGGCCCAACTTAAAGGGACAGATTCGCCATACATTTGAATAATCATAATAATAATTCTAGACTGAGAAACAGAAAGTTTTTAAGCTAATCAGTAATGGTGTTCTGCACCGTCGAAATTTGAGCTTTCAAATCCATGTGTGTCCAAAATTATCTGTATTTGAAAGAGAGACCCGGCCATATTTAGAAAGTAAATTTCTAGTACTTCTGAAGACTATTTACATATATTCAACACCCAAATCAACCCTGAAATAGCGAATCTATCCCTTTAAATTCAGACAGCTATACTTACTGGAGCAAGCACAAGTTTCATCGCTGAACAATAAGCCATCAGGACAAGTCATTTCATAATTACCTAGAGCAAATTTATCTGGCTGTCCTGGAATAAGCCGAGGTCCATATCCATCACAGGCTGCATCTAGAAACCGAAAAAATACATATATCATTACGATGGAAACGTTCCCTTCCAGTGGCGAATTTAGGTTGTAATTTTTACACTATGTCTTAACCACTAGCCAAAATCAAAGTGGAATGTCACTGGCAAAAAGCCTCTTTAACACATCCAAAGCATCTTTCTACAGTGTTTTACTTTATGGCAGCGGCGGCACCAGCCTCTCGGGACAAATAGAAAGCAGGCGGAGGGGATAACATAAGCGCAAACTTCTCCTGGAGAGTCTGAGAAGGTTCATCCACATAAAAATGGGGGTATATTTTGGGGTACAAAACACAAATGAGAGACCAAACAACAATTATCAAACTATTTGACATAAAAGCCAAAATAACGTACGACACAAGATTACTT